AGTCTCTCGGTTACAGAACGAATTCCAAACAAGTGGTACTGTCACCAGGAAGGTTGACCAAGGTCACCACATTGCTTCGACAACTGTACAGGAATGCTACTGGGCATTAAACGCACGACGACATCGGTGAACAACGGTTCCTCAGCTTGCTCGTGACCTTCCTGCTGTGTCTGGGAGAAGAACTTTCAGGCAAACAATCTACAGCAGTCTTGCAGAGACTTAACTTTACCTCCGGCGTCCAGTCCGGTGGATCCCTTTGCCAGCCTCTGTCTGAAAAAAACGGATTTTGAGGAGCTGAAAACATCAATCGTGGATACCATAAGAATATGAGCGTGTTCTTTTTAGAGATGAGCCATGGGTTGAAATGTTCCAGAAAAAGTGATTCTCATCGAGTCGTCACCTGAAGGGAAAATGGAGCTAGCTTTCATCCCTCCTACGTAAAAAAAAATCCCCAGATTTAGAGACAAAGGAATCCTTGCTTGTGGTGGCGTAATGTTTGTGTGCGTGCGACCCTTCAGGGTTTAAAAGTCCCACTTTTGGAAAAATTTGCTCTTTTGCTACTTATTGGCACCCTCATAAACAGTATGGAAGCTCTTTTTGAGACTTGTAAAACTGTTCACAGTGGTTACACACCATATTAGACAAGCTTTTCCCGAGGTAAATACTTTATCAGTGAGTCATAATTTTTCACTTTTTGATATGATTTGCGTTATAATTCACAATTAAAATCTTTTCAATGTAACATATTGCTATATTTTTATAACATTCTAATATATCTCTGTGTTACATTTTGTGGCAACACAATAGATAGTTCATCAGTTTTCACAGAATTTATGTTTGTGACCTTAATTTTGGACTAGAGTGTATTTTAATTAAACAATAAAGAAAGCTCTCAAAATGTTGTGACAATTAACCCTTTAACTAATTTGCCCATACACAGTACGGACTACCGAAAGATTGCCACAGCCGGTTTGCACTGTACAGGCACTGATGTTGTCTTCTTTCTATCTTTGATTTGCGCAAACTTTTAATCCTTATAGTGAGATTATTGGTGCTAATGTTTTTAAGATATGCAGTTTGTGTCAATGATACTAAAATACTTATCTGGAATTTTCTTTGTGGTGAAGGCGGGAATTTTTCACTGAAGGCAGGAACTTAAATTCTTGAAAATATTCGATAAAAACAGGGATTGGCAAAGTAGTCTGCAATTTGTTTCTTCAGATGAATTGATAACGGAGAGGTAAAAGGGTAAATTATCTCTGTCCGTATCGCAATGTAAGACGACTTAGTATTACACCATGCTTCAAGTTGCGTGCGCATATATATATAAATGCATACACAGAAAAAAATCTTAAGCCGTTTGAAAAAGAGATACAAACATTAAATGTGTTTGTAAGTATGAGAGAAATTCTTTTAAGATATCTAAAACATTCTTCGCAGCATGCAGAATGTACTTATAAAAAACAAACATTCAGGGGGTATGTTCCTCAATAATAAAACGAAAAATGATGCGAAAGCTTTAAAATTGAAAATAAAAATAAATTGTGCCATTTCCCTTTTCTGTGTTAAATATTATTATTAGTTATTCACAATAAAAAAATTACCTTATTTTGAAACATTTTGAGCAAAACAATTATCGCTTAAGGGATTAAATTGACATATCAACTATTTTTTTTTTAAAAAAAATACCTCTTATCAATATTATAAACTGTTTCTTGCCTCTGAAAACTTTGAGTGCTCTCAGTTTAAAGAAATATTGAAACTTTTCCTCCTATATCTATTGAGATAAAATACCATGAATTAAAAAAGAAGAAATCATCATTGATAGTAAGGGTCCCAACTAGTGACAACTTTGAATTCAGAAATTATTAATGTTAATCCAGTCGGTATTGTATTTCCTCCTCCCTCCTAGACTAGTATATTGATTTGAATTCAATGAAGTGCAACACAAAAAGATAAAAAAATAAAGAAGTTTTCTCTGGTATTGCCTTTTATATCCAACATTTGAAAATATTTTAGGTTTATTCTAATTATTTATTAGTATATACTCAGAATTTGATCTAAGAACATTTCCAAGTATGCATGTATTTCCAATGAAACTTTTATTATTTTGTGATCTTTTCAATGCCCTTTTTTGTATTCAAATCTATGCGCTACTCTTAAGTTTACGAAGAGAATAGAAATCTTCTCAGGATTACCATTATAATACTGAATCTAGAAAGACTGGTGAGCTGGTACCCTTAAAAAGCACGATTACAATATATATTATTTTAGGAAAAATGTAAAGTACTTATATACAAAATAATGGCAACTATAAACATTCAAATATTAAAATAGTGATAAGGGAATGGAGCAGGGGTGGGCAGACTTTTCCAGGTTGCGGCCCACCCAATATCAGTTGCGCAGACAAGGAGGGGGTGGGCACTGGTCCGGACCATCCCCCACAGCCCTTGATTTTTTTTTACTGATTTATTTTAATTCCATGTATACTCTACGAAAGACGAAATTAAATAATTGTTATCAATATTTTTTTATTATTTAGTGCTGAGTATGTATTTAGTAATTTATTTTTTTACTGTTTTTTTTGTTCCCGGTAATCTACAAAATTAAAAAAAAAATATGTTTGGCTGCATATTGTAGTGTGACACCAGAATGGTAGACTTTCGATCCTCGACCACGACCCCTTCCCCTTGAAAAATTCTTGTGTGCGTCAATGCCCATTGTCGTAGGTGTGGCGGGGTAGGAAAAGGGGGTTTACAATATTTATTATAAATTAATAATAAATACGAAATATAAATACTTACAGAACTAAAATAAAAAAACTAACACTTTTAAAACTGCGTTTAAAGCAAAGCGCAAAATACAAACATAATAATAATATCTACAATTATAATACTACCAAATGATACATTTACTATCAAACATTTCAAAATAAGTAAAAAAAAGACATTTTTATCTAAAGTTTATCTTAGTTTTTATCTAAATATTTTTATGTAAAGTTAGTTTTCGTTGTTATAGTCAGTAGAAGACTTATGTAGTCTACAAACTTCAGCAAATCTTGAATATTTTCGTTTATAATTACTAACTGCTAAAATCTTCAGGTGGTCCCCCCAAAATGTTCCGGCGGTCCACTGGTCAATCGCGATCGACGTAATGTCCACTCCAGGAATAGAGGATCAGGGCTTAACTTTAAAATCAGCTGTAGAAATCTTATGAATCAATTTCTAACATTTCTTTAAAAATAAACTAATATTTATAATTTTGGTTTATTTCAAATTTAAATTGCGTATTAAAAACAATACAGAAAAAAGTTCAGAATTGAATTGATTTAAAAATATTTCCCGACGACATGTGGCATTTTTACGATTAGAGAAATTCCAAAGAAAATTGTGTGGCCTAGAGGCTAAGGTCACGGATTCGTGACTGACGTGTCACGAGTCCGAGCCTAGTACCGCTGAAGACCCATCGTGCAGAGGGTTATCAAGATGCATGTTAAATCTGTCGAGGTTCAAAATGTTCCCGTTGGTGTACTGTGGAAGGTAGAAGAAAGAGTGCCAGCTCAGGTATCGTCCTCATTACTTGATAATGGTTCAAGATTACAAGGTCGGTTGCCAAAAGTCCTTGGGTAACTTAATAGTGCAACGTCAATATTCATTCATTCACCCAAAGAAGGGTTTTACAGCTTTATGTGCTCTGAATTTCAACCAAAATAAAAATTTCTCTTAATTCCTCCTTAATGGTTGATACAATATTTTCATCCTGCTTTTATGTTGGGTTAATTTGGGCTAGTAAAATTAGTGAATCTTATTTATTTTATATTGAAAATTTTACTAACAATGCTGTTAATAGACTTTTTCTTTTGTATTTTTTCGTTAAAAATCTTGATGTTCTTAATCTATAACCATAAAAAAAAAGAAACAGTGTTCATTATTAACTTAAATATTACATAATACTCCTTTTTTCAAGATTTATTTAAAATTGGTTTAAAAGGTAACAATTGGTTAAGAAACTAACAATGCTGTTAGTTAACAATGCTGTAACTAATTGATTAACTAACAATACTTTTAACTAATAATACAGTTTTTCTTTTGTATTTTTTCGTTAAAAATCTTGATGTTTTTAATCTATAACCATAAAGTGACAGTGTTCATTATTTACTTAAATATTACAAAAAACGCCTTTGTTCATTTATTTAAAATTGGTTTAAAAGGTAACAATTGGTTAAGAAATATTAAGCCTTTTTTGACTTAGCCATTTTTATTCTGCAGAAATAGATAAAAAAGGAAAATGTATGACATAAATTAATTCTGTGACTGGGTACTGGAAAAAAAACAATTAAGTTTTCTCTCTTGTTTATACTTCACGTGATTTGAAGAAATAGCAAAAATAATATCCTTTCAGCTGTCTGTGAACAAAAACTAATTTTGGTGTTGTGTGTATCGAAATTCCAGTCCTAAATGCATTATTTTTTGTGAGTTAGAACAGGTCGTAAATATAAAGTTTTTTACATAAAATTTATTGTAATGGGAAATAATAAGAAGATAATTGTAATGTTTCATGTATCCGTAACACCTCATATATCAGCATTTAATTTTGAATTTCGAAAATGTGTATCGCAATGAATTTTCATTATTTTTTGTTTGATTTTTCAATTTTAAAAGTATAGCTATTGCCTAAAAATAGTGAGGTGATTCTTGTAGTTTGTATTCTGCATTCAAACAAGTAATATTAAAAAGATTTCCTAATTAGGTCAGCAAAGAAAAAGTTCATTTTAGTTACTTTTTAGTAAATAGTTATAATTAATATAAATATGTATATACATATGACAGAATCACAGTATTAAATAGACAAAATAGAAAGCGATTTTCCTTGCAATTTTCCTTTCTATATATGGTGTTGGTCTATTTTTTGTTTGTTTGTTACTATCTAGTCATGAATTAAATTTAATTATTTTAATTAAATATTATAAGAAAAAGAAATCTCATTCTCAGAAATTGGGCCATCCTTGGTGGGATTCGAACCCACGACCTTTGGATTAAAAGTCCAACCAGCTATTCATTGCGGTACAGGGACACAATGAACGATTTCCTTTTCTATATATGGTGTTGGACTATTATTTTTGTTTGTAACTATTTATCCTTTTTTTAATTTAATTAATGAATTAATACTTGAAAAACTGTATTAACATCAAGTGTCATCCACTACAAGTTTAAAAAATGTATTTGAACCTTAACAGATGAATAGAAAGTATTTTACTAACGATTAAAAATTTGAGCAAGATATATGTATATAAATATATATAGGGAGAGAGTTAACTTATAGTAGGATTTCAAAAAAGGTATAAAAAATATTTTTATATTCAAATGATAGCAGTATCTCATCTCTTCACTTCGAAACAAATGTGTTTTTTGTTTGTTTCATTCCTTAAATTGAGTATGCACTTTAAAGATCTTTCAGAATATACAAACTTAAGAAATTAAATGCCTGAATTTTTTTTTTTTATATCATTGAAACGGTTTATTTTAAAATCCCAGTTTAATTTTAGCTTTTTCTCAAACTTTTAGAACTGTACTGCAGTTATATTTGGGTTAGACATAATTATAAATTCGAAAAAAACAATATATACATATTTTAAACATATAAAACGCAGAATGAATAAAAGTTAAATTGAATCCAGACAATTTGTATTTTCTATCAAATAAATAAATAAATGAATATAAATCTTCCTTAAACAGTTGGCAGGAAAGAAAGGGGAAAATGAAGAATGCGTTATGTATAAATCCTTAGAATTTTCTCTTTCTGTAGTTTTGAGTATCACAGATTCCAGTCTACCTTTCCTACGTGCTTAATTGCTGAGTGCAGATACATTGATACATTTTATTCCTAAAAAAATGGGAAAACACAAATATTATTACATTTAATAATTCACATAAGTAAAAAGATGGTTATTTTTCAATATTTTCTCTTTTCTGCATTTACATGCAATAGAAACATAATTTCTTTCATTGCATCAAAAATTTGAATAAACTGTCTGAGAGCGTGATTGTAGTACAAATTTTCTTCTTACACTACAATGTGAACATTCATCTTTTTTTTATTATTATTATCAGGAATAAAATTTATCACGTTATGAATATTATATGATAAATATATTCAACCCTTGTATTTTCCAAGAACTGTTTACATTAATTTGTTATTTGTGTTGAAAGAGCTTTTAAGCAAGGAAGTGAGCTTATTTCAAAACAGATTAATCAGAAAAGGAAAGAGTACTTATTAATGTTTGGTGTCCCTAGATGCAATTTGAATTTTTAAGCAGCAACAATAAATAACATACGTGAGCTAGATTTAAAATAAATTACAAAGCCAAAATATCAAGATGTTACTATACATTAGTAGTTACCATGCATTATTAAATTGCTATAGTGTTTGAAATAAGGAACTTGAAAAAAAAGTTATAATACATCAATCAATCAAATATAATTCTTCATCAGTCAAATCTCAATTGAATAATAAGAAACCCAACTCAGTGCAGTGTCTTTTTCAACTCATTTTGAGTTGATGCATATTTATTTGCATGATGCCCCATGCATTGTATTTTTTCTAGACTGGTAAACTGAAATCGAGAGGAGGTGAACACACATTATCTACCTTTTCCATAACCTTAAAACTAAAGAAAAATCAATATTTAGGAATTGTAGTCTGACTGGGTTAATTCAAACATTATTTTGATAAAAACATATTCATTTAACCTGAACTTGAGGACTAAATTGTTTTCAAAATATGTTTATTTTCCAATTAACTAAGACTCCGTTCCCATTTTTTTAACATAGATCCGTATTAATACTAATCCTTAGTTATCTTTGTGGTTTTGTCTAGTATTTTGAACACTACTCTTTGTATCCTTCAATGTCACTTAATTGAATCTACAGATATTTCTCGGTCCTTATAATTTTACCCTAACGATTCCACAATACACTTTAAAAAAACTTTTTTGTTTTGCCATCTCTGTTGATTTTGGTAAAAATCAATATTGGTTTGTAGTTTATTATTGTCACAATTTAGTTGGCTGAACCTCTCTTAGACCTTGGAGAACCTTCCCTCCCTCTATCCCGATGGTTTTTTTTAATCTCTCGTTTGCTATATTTTTTACTGCGCTCTTGTGATTCTTAAATAGAGTAATAAAAGAAAGGAAAATGATTTCTTCTACTTGATCTTCTATCTTCTAGATATTCTGGGGCTGCTGTAGCCCAGTGGTTAAGATATCGGATAATGGCAGGCATGTCATGAGTTTGAGCCTAGTACCACTAAAGACCCACCGTGAAGAGGAGATATGCACGTTAAATCTGTAGAGAGTTCAAACGTCCTCCTTTTGGTGTGATGTGGTAGTTAGGAGAGGGGAGTACCAGCTCAGGTTTCATCCTCGTAACTTGACAGTGCGACGTTAATATTCACTCACTCACTTCCAGATATTGTACGCAGTCTTCCTTCTGTAAAGAAAGTATCTATCTGCCAGCAAAATCTGACTATCTTAAGTAAGTAAAAAGTCTGTATAATGTAAAATAGGATCACCTACTGCTGATAAGATTCAGCATGTATTCTCTCTCTCTCTCCTTGGATCGATTTGAGTCATTTAAACACAATATGAAATTTACCAGAATGTTTCAGGAGCCACTCCCATGCGATTTTTCTCTTAAAACATGGCGCATTTTCTTAATGGTAAATACCAGCCCCGCTGGGAACACCGTTGTCATGAGGATTTTTTCTAATTTTAAAGGCACTCCTACAGTGCGCAGACTTTAATAATTGAGCAGTGGGATTACAAGTCCTAAGAAATCTAACGGACCCCATCACTTACTCCATAATACCGCCTCCACAGCCTTGTATCTGAAAAACTGGGCATCCTGAGGCCCGGGTTCTATTAAAAATTGGTGTAATCTGACCTGATTGACCAGAAAATGATATTCCTTCTGACTAGCTACTTTATTTCATCTTTCTATGGTTCCAAATCCGGCTTTTAGTAATGTCAAACTGTAAAAAGGTGATTCGAGCACTGACCATGTATGCTCATATTGATCAATGTAAGAGGCATTTTGTGTTGATGCATACCGTCTCTGTAACCACTGTCTCAGCTTCTGGGGATATCGACCGTTGTAGTCCTTGAGTCATGGAGCACTTTGCATAACAGTCTACACCAGTGATACTCAACTTGCGACCCCCGCGTGACATGTAGACCGCTGCCTTTTTCAGAGTGACCCAGTCATGGCTCATGGCACCAAGAAATCCAATTATTGGAGAACAATGTACTAAAATTAAAAAGGAAATTATATCAAATACATCAGTTCTGCTGTTAATTTATTCTTTTAATAGTAGAACGTAAGTAAGAGGATTTTTCATAGATGAAAGGAAATTGGAACTATCCCATTACTCTGTCAAAAATGCATGCAAAAAAATGTTTGTGTGTGTGTTTGATAGAAAAGTTAATATAGTATTAAAATAAAAGTCAAAAATGAGAGTTTTAATATTTTGATCAATTTTGTTTGTACAATGTTGTTTTGGTCCTATATTCCCCCCTCCCCTTATTATCTGCATGTTGCGGCCCGCTTAAAATACCTTTCTTTGTCCTGTGCATGTGGCCCGGTGGAAAAAAGATAGAGTATCCTTGGTCTAATCTCTTCTCTGTAAGAAATGCGCCGCATCCAACAAACCTTTGCGTCGCAAATTGTCGTTTCATGATTAATACACCATTTTCGTTAAATATTCTAAGTGACTGCTCGTAAACAGCCAACTATCATTTTTGAGTTTTTGAAATCGATGCTTTCGAAAGACGAATGATAATAATTTGAACTTTATCGAGATTTAACTCTTAACTTCGCACTGTTGCATTTCTGCAACATATGCTTTATTTTCATTTAACAGACTCAATATTTTTTTTTAATTACCTACAAATCACTTATCTGAAAACAAAAAGATTACTGCAACGAAATACATACTAATTTTGTCACTAGATGTGTGGAAGTATATTGTTTCCTGAAATCACAACAATTATAAAAATCTTTGATGCCTCAAGAACTGTGTTTTTGCTATAAAAAGAATCCATTATATTTCATGCTTCATCTTATTTATTGACGAAATAAATTACCAGGTAAGAAATTTAAACATTTTATGATGAATAATAAAATCCTCATATAAAAAAAAAGTTTTGTAATTTACAGCACTGCTGCGCAATGTTGCACTTCTGCACCAAACAGAAAATGACTGAAATTCAGTTTAAAACAGCTTAATTTTTTTATATATATATTTCCCTTTTATTATTACTTAAGAACTAGCTAATATAATTTTTTCACATAGAAATTTAAAAAATTGCGAAGTTAAGGGTTAATGAATGAACTACTTTTCCCTTCATGTAGCTAAACACTCTATGAATGGAAAGACAATATGTGTGCTATATACTTCAAAAGAGATGTGGTTTACTTACATTTGTCTTCAGGCGAGCTCTCGGTATTCTAAGTAAAGGATAGTCATAACGATATACACTGAGTACACAAGTTTTTATAACCACTTGACACTTTTACAAAGATCTCCCATAACTTCATGTAGTTATCAAAATAGAGTGAGATAGCTATTAATAGGGCATGCAGGAGCAGAGAAGCATCAATTATCCCGCGGTCACTCGCGCCTGTTTTTGCTACGGTCGTTACTCGCGGGGTGTAGAGAACACCCCAAACTTTTAACACGCGTATTTAATTATGAAAATAAAATTAAGTCATTATGATACATATTTGTAAAGTACAAGATATCTTTTGTATTATACAAATAAAATTATTAAATTTATTGCTTACAAATGAGACTAACATTAATTTAAACTAAACATACAAATTTTCATTTTAAAACACATCATTTTATATTTTTTTATAAACCAGTAAAACGTATATTTCAGTAACAAATATACTTTATAATTAATGAGATAGTGATAGTAGAAAGTATATAGAAAAATTATATTTTAATCATTTTCCAAACATTAAGAGCAGACTGTACACATATCATCAACTTTTCGCGGGAGTTCTCAGCCCCCC